TTGTGACACCATGAAAAAACCTGGAGGGTTGTATGTGAAGTGAAACAAATCAGGCATAGAAAGACAAGGACCACATGGTCTTGACTCATGCAAGGATACCAGTATTCTTAAAGAAAAAAAAAATGTTAAAAAGAGTGGATGTGAAGTGTTCTCACTACGGAATGGTAGGTTAATTATCTAGGGATAAGCACTGTGTGATGTGAATATATAAACACATACATCTATGTTTACCTATGTATACTTTAAAACAAGTATACCTATGTATACTTGGAAACAGTTTTTGTCCATCAGTTTACAAATAAATGTAACCAATGCAGATGAAGGAAGGAGGTCACTATCAATGCCACACAGACCTAGTGGGGACTTTGTCCCCTGTCCTCATGTCCCCATGTGAATCAGTGCAGCCTCAGACCCAGAAGTGGGTGTTTATTGCTGAAGGAGTCCTCCAGCAACTCCCAGGAAGCAGCAAAGAGATCTCTCTTGCTCAGGAAGTGTGTGGAAATCCCTCATTCCTATCCTTTTCTTTTTGTCTGAATCTTTCTACCCCACCACCCCTTCCTCACCCCAAGTACTCTGGGTCCCGGACCTCAAGAAATTCTGTGACAGCAATTGTGGGGGTGTCTCTGGCTGGGGGAACTTTCCTCTCCGACCACATGATCTGTGGTCGCTAGAGGGCAGAATAATTCCTTCATCTCGTCTCTCCCTGGCTCCTGACTGCCCGCTGTAGACAAGTGAAGTAGGAAAATAAGCCCCTGGGATGGAACTGGAAATGTGGAGTTGGTGGTAAGAGATTCTGCAGGTGCTGGAGTCTGAGAGAGCGAACTCTTTAAAGCTGTTCATGAACTCTGAGCTGCACCGGTTGGAATATGATGCTGAAAAAGCAATGTGTAAATGGGCCACAGGCCACTGTAAATTCACAGAGTGGCCGCTAGGAGGCTCTCCAGGGAGACAGAGTCAAACAGAGCTTCTCAGCCTTGATATAGGAGCTATGTTTATGTCTAAATTCCAAGATACTTTTATAAAACAAAGTTAATGAGGTTCACTGTAAGAGCCAAACAACAAAGAGAACCTCAAATCATAACTTTCAAAATATCTTGTATGCAATTTAAGTTTACTTGATATCCCAAACTTAAAAATGCCCACAAAACACATAACCAGAGAAATCTTAGTAACTGCATTAGTATGAAACACTCTCAAAAGTTTCAGGAAAGAAACAGAAGATCAGAAGAAGAACCAAGTAGAAAAGTTAGATTTTTTTTTCTCCAAAAACCAAATAAACACAAAGGAAAATGAAATACTCCCTAGAGGTCTGAATAACAGAATGGGGATGGCGGAAGAAAGAGCTGGAACATTTGTGAATAGATTGGTGGAAATGATCTAATCTGAACAAGATGTGGAAAAAAGATTGGGGGAGGAAGTGAATAGTTCAAAGAGGAGTGGAGGAAAGTGTGGAGCAGAAAAAAATATTTAAAGAAGAAGCTTAATGGTAGGAAGATAACCATCCTGTTAAAGCCAGTCATCATGAATGGGCTACTATGAAAGAGCTGCCATGAATGAATCGCCATGAAGGTAGCTGCCACTCAGGACAGGAGATTTCCTTTTCTTGAAATTTCTCTGCTAGAACTTAGTGGAAAAACCTGCATGCTCCTGGATTGGGAGGATCAACATCGTGAAAATGGCAATACTTCCAAAGGCTATCTACAAATTCAATGCGATACCTATCAATATTCCAACCTCATCCTTCAATGAAATAGAAGAAACAATCCAAAAATTCATATGGAACAATAAAAAGACCCCGAATAGCAAAAACGATCCTTAACAGAAAGAACAGTGCTGGAGGAATATCAATACCAAATTCCAATCTCTACTACGAAGCCATAGTAATTAAAACAGCTTGGTACTGGCACAAGAGCAGACCTGAGGACCAATGGAATAGAACTGAAGACCCAGATATGAACCCACAGACCTATAGCTATCTAATCTTCCATAAGGGAGCTAAAAAAATAGAATGGAGGAAAGACATCCTCTTCAGTAAATGGTGCTGGCAAAATTGGTTAATCACCTGTAGAAAACTAAAGCTAGATCCTTATATATCACTCTGCACCAGAAACAACTCCAAATGGATCAAAGACCTCGAAGTCAAAGCGGACACTCTGAAAACATTACAGCATGGAATAGGAGAAACCCTAGGGCTCCTTGGCACCAGCCGAAATTTTCTTAAGAGAGACCCAGAAACACAACAAATCAAAGAAAGGTCGGACAAATGGGATTGCATAAAACTGCAGAGCTTCTGCAAGGCAAAGGACATAGCTAGCAAGATAATAGAAAGCCCACGAACTGGGAGAAGATCTTCACTAGCCATACAACAGACAAAGGTCTCATATCTAAAATATATTTAGAACTCAAAAAATTAAATCCCCCAACAACTCCTCAAATGAACAACTGCCTGATAAATAAGTGGGCTAAAAACTTAAAAAGAAACTTCTCTGAAGAGGAAATAAGAAAGGCCAATAGACACATGAAGAAATGCTCAATCTCTCTAGTCATTGAGACTAATCAACATTGAGATTCCACCTAACCCCAGTTAGAATGGCTATAATCAAGAAATCTAATAACAACAGATGCTGGAGGGGATGTGGCCAAAAGGGAACCCTACTGCATTGTTGGTGGGAATGTAAACTTGTTCAACCACTTTGGAAAGCAGTATGGAGGTTCCTCAAAAGACTCCACATAAAGCTCCCCCATGACCCAGCAATCCCACTTCTGGGCATTTACTCAAACGACCACAAACAAGGCTACCAGCACAACTATGTTTATCGCAGCATTATTTACCATAGCTAAGATATGGAACCCACCCAGATGCCTCTCATTAGATGAAAGGATCAAGAAAATGTGGCATATATACAAAATGGAATTCTATGCCTCCATCAGAAAGAAAGATATCACCCCATTTGTTAGGAAATGGAAAGACTTGGAAAAATTATATTAAGTGAAGTAAGCCAGGCCCAAAGAAACATAGGTCCCATGGTTTCCCTTATTTGCAATAACTAGTATATGTCTAGGACAAGCAGAAAAGGTCAAAAGCTATGTACATATGACCATATAAGATGATGTTAAGCGAAATGAACCCCGAGACAGGGACACAAGTGGTTTTTTCTTGTTTGCTATTGTTTTTTTAACATACTTATAATGTACTATGTGATTTTTTTGTTTCTTTGGTATGTTCCTCTCCCATAGTGTAACCCCTGTTTTCACTGTATTTGAATCTGTTGTCCTGCATCTTGTATATACATTTTTCTAATTTGGGGAGGGGAAGGGAAAAAACAAAATGCTTACATAGGGATACAAGTTGACCCATTGTAACAATGAGACGTACAACTATGTTGAAAATGAACTTTACAACTTGGTGGGGAGGGAGGAGTTGGGGAGGGAAGAGATGGTAGGGGAAAAACAAAGGAGGAGGTAACAATACTCGATAGGAAAGGTACTCATTACCTTACTCATGTAGTTGTAACCTCTCTGTACAATATCTTTACAATAAAAAATATATTAAAAAAAAGAAGAGGCTGAAAGGTAGGAAGATAACCACCCTGTGGAAGCCAGACACCATGAACGTGCTGCCATGAATAAGCTACCACTCAGGACAGATTTCCTTTTCTTAAAATTTCTCTGCTCCAGAAGTATAAATTACAAGGTGCAGAATCAGTAAATAGTCAAGTACCAGTATTTGTCACAACTTCTAATGTTCACAATCACTGTGTGTGTGTGTGTGTGTGTGTGTGTGTGTGTATGGAGGTGCCAGAGTTGGTATGGAGGACAAAGGTAAAGGGTAAAGGGAGAAAGTTTCCTTACATCTCACAGGACGTAGGGAGGTCCAGCCTCCTTCCTGGTAGAGGCTATTGCATAATATGAGTGGGAGGTGAGATTCACATATATCACAGACATTCCCTCAACTCATTTTATTCTCAACTCCAAGTTGGTTTGGAACTATGGGATTTCCTCATCATCTTAGCTTTCCATCAGATTGAAAAGCTATCCTCATCTACATGCATCTGGAGTAATTCTTCCTTAAGTGATTGTGCTTCACTAGTTTTGAAAATTGTAACTTAAACATCTCGAGCAGAAAATATTAAGAAAAAGATCCTTCCTTTCACTCCGTGGTCCTAAGTGATACTGGGCTCTTCCGAGTTTTCTGTCTATCAACACCGTCATTCCCTCCCCTTCTCCCCACCCCGCCCCCCAAAAAAAAGGAAAAAAAAGAATCAAAGCTGTACTAAGTAAATCCAACTTAGAGACTGAATCTGACCTTTAATATCTAGTCTGTTTTGATCATGGCTGAGTAAATATCTGAGTAAACAGGATGTGCATTTTTTGTTCACACATCAAATGGTGCTTTTACTTGAAAAGACTGAAATGCGCTTTGATTTCTTTTTGTGTTGGTACAGAGGTTTGAACTCAGGGCCTCTTATTCTTGCTTAGCTCTTTTTGAACAAGTCTAGCACTCTACCACTGGAGCCACACCTCTAGTTCCCATTTCGATTTCTTGCTGATGAATTATTTCCAACTATCTTATGGACTATGAGGTTATTTTTTTCCCACCATAACTTTAGCCTAAGACATTTTTTTTTGTCTCAGCTAAGAGTCATAAAATTGAGATGTTCCATTAAAGTACTTTCTAGAATGTTCTTATAGTTTCTAATCCACCCAATGTATTTTCTTTCAACATGATTACCGATACATTTTTGACTGAATATCTTTAAGAGTTAACTGGTCTGTGCTTTATGTACTTTTATTTTACTGCAGAGAGCACAGTGATCAATAGATCACACAGACCAGAATCACTAAATCATTTCATCTCTCATGAACATTTTCTTCCATTTTGGACACGGCCAAATACTGTGCAGGTAATATGACTGTCAGGTCATGGAACTCTTTAGCCCTGGGTGGGAGAGAGGTCAGGCCTGAGCGGGAGGTGGGGAGTTGATGAGGAGCTCCATTACCTTCCAGCAGATCTCTAGCCAGACCAGGTTCTGCTCCCGTGGACCGAACAAAGTCTGACAGGACTGCGTCCATATCAAGCGTCATAGGATCATGTAGAAGTGCTGCCCAGCACTCGGCCGAGGTGGGGTTTGGAAGCAGGCTAGAAACCATCCATCTGCAAGAGACAAGAGAGGGCATCTCATTATGGAGAGCACTGGACCTGAGAGCAGCCACACATGGGCAGCGAGCTACCGCCACCAACTTTTGAGCAGCTTTTGAATTGCTTTGGGAGGATGGCTGCTGCATTCCTCATGGAAGATATTCCATTATAAATATCCAACTAAAGTATCATTCCTCTCTACATGCCAGCCACCTCGGGGTGCTAGGGTCTGTATGTCTGTGTGTTTTCTCTGCCCTCCACTTTATATGCCGGGATCTAACCTCAAGGTGACATCAGGAGGCGGGGCCTGTTGGAGGTGACCAGGTTGTGAGGGTGGAGGCCTCATGATGGGATTCGTGCCCTCAAAAGAGCGATCCTTGCTCCTTCTGCCATGTGAGGACAGCAAGAAGGTGCCATCTGTTAGCCAGGAAGTGGCATATAACAAACATGCTGGTGCCTTGATCCGGGACTGTAAGCCTCTAGGACTGTGAGAAATAACTTCCTGTTGTGTTTAAGCCTCTTGGTTTGTGGGATTTTATAATAGCAGCCCCGATGGACCAAGGCAAGGGAATATTACTAATGCCAAAGTCTTCCATTTCACCTGTCAATTCTAACAACCACCAATAGGGAAAGAAAATAAAGACTGGATTGTTTGAAACAATCAAACATATAGAGAGGGTAAATTTAGCAAAATGAGATTTCTAATTCTCCTCTGAGTTATAGAGACATGTAACTGCGTTAACCTCCCCATTACATGCATTTCCCTACATCCCTAAGCCCTCCTTAGGCTATTAGGAGAGACTCTGGGGTCAGCAAACTTGCTGAAGATGACTTCTAAAATTAATCTGCTGTCTCCCTGAGAGTTATCATACTCAGGGTAATAGCCCAACAAAATTCACAAGGAAGTCAGGTTTCCTAAGAACGATTACAATCAGAGGACTAAACTGGCATCCAGGAGCTGGACTACGGGCTGTCTGCAAGAGCCAATTGCTAGGGAAAAGCAGCCTTTACCAGCAATACAAGGGTGGCTCTTATCAGTAAAGCAGTCTGGGGGACCACCACTGGTCTCAGTCATGGCTGATAAAGTACAAGTGTACCCCACAGCGTGCAGATGAGAGAGAGGTCATCACCCCTATGGCCCATAGTAGGCCAAATGTAGTCCTCTACTTGTTTTTGTAAATGAAGTTTTATTGGAACACAATCACGTCTTTACATAATGACTATGGTAGCTTTATACATGGTTTGCTTTGGTAGTAAAAAGCTCCAAAAAAACCATACCCCTGAACGTATTTACTTACTATTTGGGTCTTCATAGAAAAAGCCTGTTGACTCTAAGAGGGAAACCTTTATGCTAGTGGGTATGTCATTAATTTTTCACCCTGTGAGTGAGTTTAAGTTTCCTCTATTGGTGAATGGCCTTTGTTTCTTCTTAGTGATAGCTACAGCTGGTCTGTGCTCAGTGGATGGGCTCTGCGGCACTTGCTGGAGCTTTAGAATGAGCATGTTAGTCTAATTTGAACCCAGATTTACCTATGACCAGCTGTGCCAGGTTGGTTCAACCTCTCAGGTCAACCTGTGCCTCTGTCAGAAGGCAACAAATAAAAGAGGCTCACGTCACGACAAAGACCAGAGGAGCTATGCCTTTGGGCAAGGAAGGCTGGAGTCTTGGGCTATCCATTGCCATTACACCATCTTGCACACGGCTACCATCTGTTTGGTAGAGTTAAAAAGTAAGAATATGATTTGACCTGATGTATAGGGTACCAATTAGGAAATTGCCTTCTTCCTTCCCTCCATTCACTAGAACTTCGGCCCAGAGAGTGTCTTCTTTGGTCACTGCCACCTGGGGGAGAAACCAGAGAACAAGGTCTTGTTATTCTCCTTATCTTAGAGACCAGGCTTGGGTGTCACATGGAGAATGTGCTTTGTTTCCTTGATACAGGAGTCTGCATCTGGGGCGGGGCCAACTGCTCGACGCAGGCCCTCTGCCTCCCGGGGTGCTCCAGGTGCTCGCTGGCCAGCTGGCCTTCACCTCCCACATTTCACTGAGCAACTGCATTTCAACGAGTGTACAGTGTCACATTATCGAGCTGTCAGAAACGTTACGAGTAATCATCACATCAGTGCATTCAATCTCAGTTACCGTGGTAAAATGTATATAATGTGAAATCTACCATTTAACGATTGTAAAGCTCACAGTTCAGCGAGATTTCGAGTGCTTTCCCACTGTTATGCAGTCATCACCGCCATCTCTCTCCAGAAGGGTTTCATCTTTCTGAATTGAAAACATTTTATTAAATCCTCCCTTCTCCAGTCCCTGGCAACTTTTATTTTGTCTCTGAATTTGATGACTCTAGGTACCTCATATAATGGAATCACACAGCGTTTTCCTTTTGTGTCTGGCTCATTGCATTTAGTATCATGTCTCTTCAAGGTTCATCCCATTGTTATAGCCAGGCTCAGAATTCCCTTGCTCTTCAAGTCTGAGTGATATTCCATTCTGTGTATATGCCACCATCCAACCACTAGGTTCATCTGGTTGCTGGGAATCATGAGATCTCATCTGTTTGGTGACCCTGATGGATATCTACCAACAAAAGATTGAAGACTTGTACTCACATCTATTCTCTATCTGTCCCTAGTGCAAGGTACATGCAGATGAAAGAAAGGATGTGCTTAAAATGAATGTGGCTAGAAGCTACTGTGCAAATCTGCCTCAACACGTTGCTCTTTAGTCTAACACTGCTACCACTACCACAGCCAAGACCTCACTTTTGTACCCCCAAGATGATAGGGGAGCAGCTGCGTGAATGGAGACCCTGGATCCTGATCTCCTCAGGCCTTCACCCTGCTGCTCCATGGCCCAAGTGTACTATTGTGCCTTGTTGGTTTTAGTGGCTCAGTTTCCATGTCTAGCTTCTGTTTCTTTGCCTACCTATTCATCCTGGCATTTTGACAGATTATCTCTGAGACTTGGCATCCAACCTGGGGGTGTGGGGTGTCAAGTTGTCTCCCTGTGACTTTGTGAGGAAGCAGCAGCACTGTGTGGGGACTAGGGATGGCTCTGGAATCAATCCTGGGGCTGAAGTGTCTTTGCTATTTACTGTCTGTATGCCTTAGGCAGGCTACTTTGCCTCTCTGTGCCTGTTTCTCAAGCCATATATATGGAATAATAATAGTATCACAGGGATGAAATTTTAGGTATTGGGGTGTTAAAGTGTATGGGTCCATACACAATAAGCACCAGCCATTGCTGAATTCTCTGCAAGGACCCTAGATCTTCCCTTTTCAAGTGTCCACTGAACACATTTTTTTCTTACACCGTTTTCCAGAGTCTGGAGTTCATTGATGGCTCCTATTGTGTCTTGTGGCATTTGTACCTCCTGTAAATTTGCACTTGATGAGATGCAGGCTTAGTTTTGGGCTCATTTTGGTACTATCTTTTCTATCAAGTGGTACTGAATGTTTAACTATCTCCGCTTGTGATAGAAGCAGCCACTGATGAGCATTACCTACAACAACCATCAGTTCATTATGAGCGGCACAGACTGATAGTCGAATTGCTTCCTTCCTTCTCCATTTATCAACTGGAATTCTTACATAGGAAAAAAACTTGCACTCATCTCCATTTGGTCATTCAGTGACAGATTTCAAGTAGAAAAGGCAAGATAAATGCTTTGTTTACCACCTTTCACCTGATTTTATTGGATGAATTGGCACGTTAGGTTTCTCCAATGATTGTCAACTTGTTTCCTTTCTTTAAAAAATGTCCTTTTCACTGAGTGCTGGTAGCTCACACACTTGTAATCCTAGCTACTCAGGAGGCTGAGATCTGAGGATCAAGGTTCAAAGCCAACCCAGGCAGGGAAGTCTGTGGGACTTTTATCTCCAGTTAACCAACAATAAGCAAGAAGTGGAACTGTGGCTAAAGTGGCAGAGTGCCATTCTTGAGTGCAAAACCTAAGGGACAACATCCCGGTTCTGAGTTCAAGCCCCACTACCAGCACATGCACGTGCATGCTTGTGCGTGTGCATACACACACACACACACACACACACACACACACACACACACACACACACACACAGAGTTGTTTCCAGTGGTAAATTGCTTCCTAGCATACGTAAGGCACTGGGTTTTATCCCAAGCAGGCATTGCAAAGAAAATCATTTTGTACTCATGGATTTGAACATGTTTGACACATTTCCATCCACCCAATACATAAGTAGTTGTCATCTTAACTGGTAGTTCAATTTGTCTCTTTTTATCCAATGAGAGCCTCTTCTAGGTGACTCCAGCATCCTGGGCCAAGTCGCCTTGACCTCAGTATGGCCATCAAGGGGTGACAAGATGGTTCAGACTCCTTCTGTCCATTATGTCAGATCTAGAATCTGACATTTCTTCAAGGAACCCTGAGTCTTCTTTTTAATGAACATGTTGTTATTATTATTTTTTAAGACTACAGTCTGGGAGCTTTGTGTGCCCAATAATACCAGATTAGTCACTGTTTGTAGGATCTCCTAGTGGATGGAACCATACAATATGCTTGTTTCAAGACAAAATACCTCTTGTATGTCTTCAAATCAAATGGAAGACTTCAGGGTTTTTTCAGTCTCACTAATTGTTTTATACATGGATTTTCCTAATCCTTATTTGAAAGAATACCAGGGATGACAGAATATTATACCATTACTCCTATGATATACACAATAATAAACCACAAATACCAATATGACAATTACTACAAAGCTTCAAGCTTGCTGCTTATTTATAGTATCTATTTCTTTGGTCTTAAGTATATCCCACTATGGAGAAATAAATAAACTAATATATTAAAAAAAACCCGAAACTTTGGGCCAGGCACTGGTGACTCATGCCTGTAATCCTAGGTTCTCAAGAGGCCAAGACCAAAAGGATTGTGGTTTGAAGCCAATCTGGGCAGACAGATCTGTGAGACTTTCTCCAATTAACCGATAAAAATCCAGACTAGAGGTCTGGCTTTGCACTGTGATCTTCAGATTTCAGCCTCCTAAGTAGCTAGAATTGCAAATGTGAGCCCTAGCTGCTTGCCTGAGCTTTTGAGTTTTGAGCAATTCACAGGTGAGAAATACTTTTTCACTGTATTTTTAATCTGCATTTCTCTTATTATATGTGAAATTGAGCATTTCAACAATGCCTAAGAACCTTTACCATTTGAAGTTTTACAAACTAATTGGTTCTCTAGCGAATTCCCTCATTCAAATACTGTTTCGGACTTTTTTTCCCCACAAGTATTACTCATTATATATTCAAGATAACAATCGTTCCTCTAGAATAAATTAGGAATTGATAAAAAATCTTTCTGTGATTGATATCTCTCCTCTAGAATAAATTAGGAATTGATAAAAAAAATCTTTCTGTGATTGATATCTCTTTATGTAAGTGTTAAATTCAGCTTGTTAAATTTTAAGATGCTTTATGTTGACATTGTTAGTTTTATCCCCACCTTTGCTCCTCAGCTCCACTCATACCTGAGCTCTTCCCCGCCCTAGAGATCACGCCATACAGCTGGCCACTCCCTCTCTCTGCCCAGATCCACCTGTGAACACATTTACCCCACTTGCACCCCCCTCCCCAGACCTACTTGCCACTGGGATAGGGACAGATGCCATGAACTCCCTCTCCGGGGGAGATATGGCCCTTCTAATAAACCTTATAATAATCTTTCTCCTGTGCCTGCCTGCCTCTGCGTGGTCCCCTGGGATGGTCGGGAAGGATTCCTACAGATGTCATGCATTAGACGAATCTATGAGTTTATGTGCAACTGTTGTCAGGTTTTACAGTTAGCATTATACCCCTAAATAAGAAAGCTCAAAGTTTTCTTTTCCTGTTCAGCATTCAGCAATTACATGAGTAGTACTGGGGGCATCTGGTACTTGGATGCTTGGTGGATTTCCTAGAAAAGCAATTGGTTTTTTCTGTTTCTTTTGTAGGTGGAGCTCTCCTACAACTTTAACTTTTTATCCCATGGGAATCACTCTTTTACAGAGACAGTAAGTTTCTATCTCTATAGAGGTCAATTTAAAAAAAAAATGCCAGTCCTTGAATTTGAATTCATGGCTTAGGTGCTGCTCCTCAAGCTTTCTTGCTCAAGGTCAGCATTCTACCACTTGAGCCACAGCTTCATTTCCAGCTTTTCTTTTGATTTTTAACTGGAGATAAGAGTCTCAAAAACTTTCCTTCCTGGGGCTGGCTTCAAATTGAGATCCTCAGATCTCAGTCTCCTGAATCATTAAGATTACAGGAGTGAGCCACTGGCGCCCGGCATAGGAGTCAATTTCATAAGATTGTATTTCCTGGAGATTTATCCATTTTCAATAAAACCGAGTTAAAATAATTAACTATTCAAAAGTTCCCACAGGCCAAAATCTTCTCTTTATCTAAGTGAGAAAAATAAAATTCTAGTAACCACAGAATATTCTCAAATAACACCGCTGTCCTATGCGCTTTCTGGGTAAGGTCACCCCTCATATGGATGACAAGTCCACAGGGTGAGTACCTTTGCTCAACTTTACAGAAGCTCAGAGATTCCAGTGGTGGAGTTAGGATTTACACGCATGCCTGCTTTGATCCAAAGGTCACCACTGTTCCATCAATGTTGTCCTTTTACAACGCAACAGTGTGTTACCAAAACTTCTCAGGCTAAAATGCCCCGTGCTTTGAAATACATTATGTGCATAGACGCATGGTTGGAAGGAAAACATTTCCTTACTTGGTCCTGTTTCACCTTTCATGATTTTCTCTCAGTATGGAAAGATGGAACAAATACTTCTCTGAAAATATGATTATTTGGGGGTAACAGG